GCCCATTTCACGCTTAGTAACCGTATTAATATCAGTTAAAGTAATTATAAACTGTCAGAATTATTTCACATGTCAAGTAAACTTTTTAAAATTCCATATTTAACAATTTCTTTGTGAATAATTTCTATGTACAAACTGCGCGAAAGAATCAACCGAATGAAGAAGGTAATTACATTTCTTAAGTTTCAATCGAAATAAATTAGTTTAAATCGCTTTTTATTATTTATAAATTGTATAAATAATGGACTAGATGGAATTTTCATAGTGCTTTTGTAATCCACAGACGAATAAAGTAAGAGAATGTCATTGAAAAGAATAAAGATATCAAACTTTTTAGTCAATCAATCAATCAAAATATCAAAAACTGTCCAGCGAATTTTTTTATTAAAATATTATAATAAATCATTTTTATTTAATATTCGTACTTTTACCAATGACTTTCGTCGAAATAATAACAAAAATGGCTTCTTTAAAAGCGTTTTTATTGTATTTAAGGTAGAAATTATGCTTGAGATCGCACACATAACTTTCGAAAATCAAAAAGTTAAAGGGTTGTTTAAAAAAACAAAAAGAAAAAAATTAAAGCACAAATAACAGTCATATCGCTTTTGAAATTTTAGGAATTAATTCACAGAAGTAAAGCTAGTTTCAAAAGATAAAAAGGTAAGAAAAACATGCTGTTTTCTATCCTATTTTAGAAAATCCTGCCAATCCAGATAGTGGTAAGTATTCTCAAGACAATCATTAAGATAAAGCACAAACTCATTTATTGTGTTTTACAAGAGTAAAGAATCGAAACCTTTACAAATTCGTATGCATTCTACTGGGCATTTCTTTTGTGATAATGGCCAAAATTACAACAATTCTTTTATTTCCAGTATCTCAATAACACGCTTTAATTACCAGAGTTTGAATACGTTGTTTGGACTAAACTAAGAAAAGACAAAACAACCGAACGAATAAATCGTTATTTGATGGATGCAATGATTAAGATTTTAAATAATCTTAACTTAATTCAATTTAAATAATGCAAATTTAAAGATTTAATATAAGAGATAATCGATTATGGGAAATCGAGACGAAGGATTAACTCGGTTATTTCTGCTATTTAAAGTGTTCAATGAATAAAACTGAGTAAATTTCAGTTAATTAAACTTATAAAACATTGTTTTATCTTCATTTTTATTTCATTAAATCACCTTAAAAAACATAAATTACACGTCAAAAGCGAGGAATAGAAATTAAACTGGGTAAGTTATTTCGTTGAAAAGTAAGTTCTCCAGGTAGAGATAAGTTTGAACTAGAAATCATCTATCATAAATGTCTGGAGAGAGATTAGACTTCAAAGACATCTCATACTTTATATAACCTTATATAGTTTTACTTTTCGTCACCAGACGGCAATGTGATCCCAATAGAAGTGATTTATGGAAAAGTCTGCAAGGTCTGATTGGTGGAAGACTAGGAGCTGCTTATCACATTGAATGATGGGTAAGCAGTTTTTGTTGCTTTGACGAATGCTCAGTCAGACAAGAAGTGACAATCGTGTCTGGATGGACAGGAATTTCAAACGCCATCCAATAATGAAACTTCTGCAACAAACTGGGATCAGTCAAATGGAAGAGGCTGGAGCACTCGTCAGTTTGCTTCCTTTGCCCTCTTCCAAATTGGCCATAAAATGTTTAACAGCAACTTTGCAACACTCTTAAACTATTAAAAAGTACGAAAGGGCAATTTCGATTTTCAGAATACCTAAAACGACGAAATTAAATTAGGAGAAACGGGGAAATATTTTTTTATTCAATTGTAAATTTGATTTAGGTCTGTTTATTTAATGATTGATCCGAAATTTGGCATTGAGTAACTTCATTACGCCGCTAACCTTTCAGTTCAAAACTATCAAATTTACTACTTTTCAACGTGAATCTTATCGAAGTGAAAGGAATTCAATAAAAATTCTTTTTAATACTCATATTTAAATCATTAACAATGGGCATTTGTTTAAAGAAAACAAAGAAACGACTACTGTATATCATTAAATTTTATCTGATAACAAAGAATCAAAGCATCATTACTATCGCTCCGTATACAAACCACAATATCCTGCCGAGCTGACGTAACGTTTCTTTAGATAATAAATTACATATAAATCTATGGATTCTTCCATAGATCGATATAGAAGTTTATCACTATGAATAATTATTGCAACATAATGTCATCTAATAAAATATCATCCGATAAAGTACACGTAGTTTTATATAGATTTTTACCACAATCAATAGCATATTTTCGATAAAAATTCTAAATTACCAAATAATTAGTTTATAATATTCTAGATAAAAAAATAAAAAAACTATTTACCATAATTCGAAGTTAAATTTCCATTTTCTTCTGGGAAATTTAGTTTCAAATTATATATTTCGCGTTATAATCGATTTATTCGCGGAAAAAAAAAACATTTTCATTTATTTCGTTGAAAACTTTCGTATAAAATAAACAGACGAGCTTTTAAAATTTATTATTTTTGCATTTTCGTCTTTTCAAAATAATGCATGAAAATAATTCCAATTTTATATGCATTTTTTATTTATTTATTTTATTAAAAACCGATTTAAAATTTTTATAAAGGAATAGATTATAAGACAACTTAATTTTTCTTTCGGTCCTATTAATTTTGCTCATTATTCATTAATTTTCCAAATAATACATCTCGTTTAATTTAATTTTATTTTTTTGTCTTAATTATCTAAAACAATTTTAAATAAAAAACATTATCAAGTAATAATCTACAAGTTAAAAATAATTCTTCTTTTTTAAAAAATAAGTAGGCCTTTATACGTATTCCCTCTTTCGTCTTTACTTAAACAAACGAAATTTTCATTGAAATGGGAAAAAATGCAAATGAAATTAAATTCTTTTCCATTTTAACAACAAAAGAGCTTCTTACTTTATTATAATTAGCGTCATTAAGACCTTCTGTTCGATAATACAATAAGAAATGTTAGAAACATTAAATGTGGTCGTATGAATTAAGGTCAAGCATTTTAGTTGCGCTCAATTTACTTATGTTTTGAATAAGAGAACAGAAAGGCATAAGAAATAAAAATAAAAAAATGCTCTGTTCTATTGTTAAGCTCAGTTTTGAACATGGCGTTCCTCGGGGAAAACGGATTTGCACGAAAATGGTCTATCGACATGAGCTGTCGAGTAGCATTAAGTGGACTACTTTTAAATTACATAACTGAACCAGACTTTACTCTCCAGTTTGAGGATAATGAGATAATTTTATTTACATATTAATTTTGCTTTAAGGCGCTACTACTTCTTCTATATTAAATAGGGAAAAAACGTTTCTTCTCTTAATTGTTTTCGTATTAAATTTATGATTTTTTTATATATTAAATAAATAATCATATGAAACTTTTAAACTCTAATGTAATTAATTATCTTTCAATCGAAATTTTTATTCAATTATCTATTAAATTTCTCGATAAGGAAGGCGAAAAGTGTCATTCAGTTATACTGTACTACTTAAATTAAAATTGTATAATTTATAGAATTGTATATTATAGATACACTCGTGTAAGGTTCCCACTTGGACACACAAAACTATCCAATGATACCATTGCACTTCGCTAGGTATTGTTGATCCAGAAGACTTTTGTCATCATTTTGAAGGCAACGTCATTGTTTGCCCAAGGTTTTAGACAAGTTTCGTGTTTGCCCCAGATCTATGTCCTTACTACAATGTTTGATAATCAAACATTCTCCCCACTCAGATAATCGACTGGCACTAAAGTAAATATTCAAATGACTTTAATTTTCGAATATCCGACAATTAATGTTCTGTAATATTTTTTCCTTATCCTCTACGGTACTCGAGAAACCTTATTGAAATAAGGAGAGAGAAATGTGACAGAGAGAAGAGAGGGGTTTATTACTAGTGACGTTTAAATTTACGACATTGATTGGGTCGTAAATTTCTAGAGAAAATAGTCGACGTGGTGACGCCATATAGGGCATCAATCAGAGTCTGAAGTTCTCCTACCGATAGGACTTTTGTAACACTTCCGACTCATCTTAATATTTTAAAAAGATGCCAAGGTTGAGCGTGTTTGTTTGCCTGACCTGTTAATATATCCGGGATTTTTCTGGAGGTTTTCCAAAATGGATCGAAATTACTCCATTAAAAATACTAAGGTGAAGCCATTTTTGCTTTCTACTTCCATCATTAATATTAAAGAATTCATTAAGCAAAATGTATTTAGCAGAAAGGTAATTTAGAAATTAATATAAATGATATGTAATTAAGAAGATTTAATTCCGTTTGAATCGTTTCAAAAGTCGAGAAAACGATTTATTTTAATTCCTTTTGCGGATATTTTTTCCTTCATTTAAAAAAATACCGTTTAGTCAAGCATATAAAAATATATTATAAATAATCACATTACGTATAATTAAAAGAATATTTTCCCATAATTTATTATTTCCTTTTTCTAATTTGCAGATCATTTAGAAAAGAAGATGCGATCCACATTTTAAGAAAGAATCTTCTGTATCATTTCGAATAACCTCTAAAGCACTATACATTAAAATAATTACACGTCTTTCCTTTCGTCTAATAAGCAATGGAAATTATTAACGATAATTATGGATAATAAGAGCTATCATAATTCATTGTAAAATGAAAATCAATGCATTCAACTTNTATATAAAGCTCATTTTAATTTATTTTAAATCAAACTTTGTTAATTATATTTATTATTTTTTAAATGGAAATAAAATTTTGACAATCTGAACTAAATTTAAAATTTTTTTTGTTTGGTTGGACATCTGATTTCTTCATTGATTTCTCAATTGCAAAAGATAATAGCTGTCTAAAATCATTATTTATCTAATCGCGTGATTGTTCAGTTAACGATGTTCGATAGATCAAACTATAGTTCAAGAGACTGCCCATTGTCCTGACGAAAATGAATGTTATCGGTTTTCTTAGATACCTTCACTCCCTTCAAAAATATTCCTCCTGTAACACAGTGGCGAATGTGCGAAAATTGCAAAAATTCCTAAATTTTCATTAAAATTCGAGTCAAATGCTCGAGTAAATTTCATTTACATTCGAGTAAAAGCTAATTTTACTAGAGGAAAAAAATAATGGAAGTTAATTAATTGTATTAACAATTTAATTATCGATTACAACAATTTTCATCTTTTATAAATTAATATTAGAAAAGGAGCTTACATATAATAATTGAATTTTCCTTATATTCCATTTGCAGAATGACAACTGATGAATGGTGTTTACTGCCCTGTAATTATTGTACTGACGCATCCACTAAGATAAGCATGCGACGGAGAAGGCATTAATTCCATATATTTCATTAAGAAATAAATTTAACTTAAAGCGAAATTTATAAATTAACATTTATTTAAATGGCATATTTCTTAACGTGTATTAATCGTTCTGAAATTTGTTCTACGCCAATTGTTTTCTAATAAAATACTTATGTTTTCTTTAATTTTCAAGCAAGATAATTGGTAAATCTCCATTATAACATTAATTATTAACGAAGGCCGCTTATTATTATATAAGGCTATTGTTACGTTATAATTAATAATATTATAATAGAAGGTAATTACGTTGATATTATTGCAACAAACTATAATAAATATCAAGCAATAACATATAAAGTGTGAAATCCTATATTTGTAAATGGCATTTGGGAAGAAGTCAAGAGATGAAAGACACATATATATATTTGATCCCAGATGGGGACAACTCACAGGTTTTAACCTCCCAGTAGCCTAGTTGGTTAGAAAATTCGGCACATTATCGTGAATGTGGGTTCAGCTCCGTCCCCAGGCTATATAGCCTATATATATATATATACCTTTTTCTGTCTGGTTTTATTTTCTTCGAGTGTTTCTACGATTTATACGTTTATGCTGTGTATCTAAAGTGTATTACCCACTAACAAACACAATTTCTGTATTTTTTTTCTATGGGTCGAGTGTTGCTGTCTTTAAAAGATTATTAAATACATTAAATTACTTGTTAACAGGTTATAATTAACGAATGGAATGAGCTAGAAAATTTTTTCACTCTTAATCATAAAGAAATAATTATTAAACTCAAAAAATTACATTTTGATATACTACACGAATACGAATTATTATATAATTTAACAAAATGATAATTAATTTTCATATTATTTGAGGAATAACTCTTGCAACAACACACTCGTAATTGCAATTACTATTTTTGTTGAGTTTATCCCTATTTTATGATTAATTTAATTAGATCTAAAAGCTATTAAAGCCATTATTATTAAAAGTCGGCGGTTCCGAACAAAAGTTCGGTATCCGAGCAACTATTTCGAATTTTCTGCAAAATATGTGAAGCGAACAAAAGGATTCACCACAAACCATCTCTTTCGAATCATCCGATTCGCTCGCAACTTAAAGTATTAAGTTAACTCAAGTGAGCTTAGCAGAGGCATACTAGCAATAAACCTCTCTTTTATAGCTACTCCATCGTCATCTTGATAACTCTGAGATAATTAATGTCATCCCTATAGCTAAAGAGATCTTACAATTTACATGAGAAAAAAAATATATCTGTATAGATATTTTTTATTTTATTTTCCTGGATATATTTCTTCTTTTTATCACATATGGTTTATATCCCATTCCTTACTGGATTTTTATAAAAATGACAAAGTATTCGGTCGGAAATACTATTGAATATGTGCCAACTTCCTTCAGTGTAAATACGTGATTTTCTTTTCAGTTATATTGTGGAGACGATGCTACTTTTTCTGCACAATATTCCGATATTAAGACTCATCGATTAGACAACAAAATAGTTTTATCAATGTTTATATAGCCGTAATATTTGCCTCCTGTTTAAAATAAATTCTCTCCTGAAAAATGTAAATAATAGAAAATCAAGTATGTGCTCGAAACATACCGGAAAAATAAAATACTTTTTACATAAAACGCGTTTACGGTAGCGATTTTCAATTATCTTTATCCTTTAAAAATAAACTTAATTTAAAATTTTATTAAGTTAATACTTGTTTGAAACTAATAAATTTTTCAATGTGAATATGCGCTGATAAGACAGTTGGTCCATTCTTTCTTGAATGCGTGCGAGTAAGATGTTCTGGAGTAATTACAAGTTGGGTGTTAATCCCAATGAAGCATCTTTAATCGATGTCCCGAATTATCATGTCCTTGACTTCCTCTCTTGAAACTAACTAATCCAAATATAATCTTTAACACAAGAGAATTCAATTATCGAGCTTATAACGCTCACATCTTTGGAATATTCTACAAAATATTAGAATTTTCTTCGATATAAATATTATTTTTTTGGCATAGCTTTTAGAGGGAATAATCTTTATAATAAATTATTTTGAATCTCGATTTTTTCCCTTTATCTATTCTGTTTAGAGTCCTATATATAGTACGGGAGACTAACGTATTCCATTTTATATTATTGAAAAATCTGAATTTAGAAATTTTGGAATGGAAAATGATATGAAAGATATCCGAAAAACTCGGATCAAAATTGTCCTTTTGGGATGGAAATTTCAAATAAGAAAAACAGAATCTTGTGCATAACAATGAGATTGGAGTGAGTTTCCATGGTAACGCATAGCTTCCTGGATGTTACAGTAATAGAAGGTCAAGTAGCAATCAACACCGACAACACCAAAGTAAACTCAACTTTTTCTAGACTTTTGTTTTGTTTATTGTGACTGGAATTCCAACGACTTTCACAATTTATAATTCTATATATTTTCACGAATTTAGACGAAAAAAAAGAAGAAACAATAGGTTAAAAAATGTAAGTCATGGTATAAAATAAGATTCTTTTAAAAAAAACTTGTAGATTTATTGATAAAATATAAAAGAATGTGGTTTCGAATTACATAAACGAAATAAAATTTTATTTCGTCGGTTTACTTTGTAGCATTTTTTAAATTAAGAGAAAGTTTAGAATTGGAAATAAGGTACCCACTTCATAAATCTGGCAACCGGCTTCTAACAACTTATTCAACCCTTCTACGCTAAAAGCACTATCCTGTTTGCTATTGGAACTGACTTCGTAATGGAAAGTCGAAGAATCTTATCCAGGTTTTTCACTCAACAACACGATGAAAGGCCAAATCAACTCCTTTATGGCGGTTATCAGATATTTTCAAAGGGTAGAATACCTCTACAACAAAAGCTAATCTTGCTAATTTGTTACCGGGGAAATATTGTTATTTCATTTTTACATACCTTTTCTGCTTGGTAATTTTATTTATGAAACACGTATAAAATCCTTTCCTGTGTAAATATAACACAGGATAATAAATAATGTATTACAGTATAATAAAATATAAGCATTGTTGTAGATGAATAATTATTAAATCTGAAAAAAAAAATTAATTAACAAACGTTTTTTTCTTAATAAGCTCATAATTTTAATAAAATAAATCTTTATTTTGTATATTTTTGAAGTAAGAATAATATTTTTATCTAAATACCTTATACAATAACTAGAGGATGCTATTATAACTAATCTGGGCCATTATTATATAAAAAAATAAAATGATTATTTAAAAATAAGGATTCTTTTAAGTTTATCTAAAATAATATTTTGTTATTTTATGTAGAAAATGTTAAAGAGATAAAATTTTATTTAAAACAATGAATTGTTTCCAAATTTAAATGTCAAGTGTCCAATTGCATTTTTGTAAGAAATAATCATTTTAAGAGAAGTTATAAAAATAATTTCGCGAATAAAATGTAATAAATTTCCGAAATAATCTTAAAATTTTTATTATTTAACAAACGAAATATTTAAAAGGCGAATTTTTAAACATTCTTCTCAAAGCTCTTATTAATTTCATTATTATTATGTTTTTAACGCGCATTAAATCTACAAAACGTTAATTTAAACTATAAAAATTGTATAAAATTGTTGATTTTATAACAATATACCATTTAAAAAAATAATTTTTTCAGAGAAATTTATAATAAATTTTAATTTTTATATACTGATTTTCTTTATTTATTTAATTATTTTTGAAGCTGTACCATTTAAAAACAGGGAAACCAAATTAAAAATATATAAAAGAAAACAAAAGAAGATTACTTCCATGTAGATTTTACAATATTTTTTAAAATATTAAATATAATTTCAAAGTACCGTACATCGATTTGAAGTGAATATTATATTTTATGAATGTTTATACAGTATTAAGATTAATCAAGGAAAATTATCTAAATATTTATTTTTTAAAATTTCTCAATAAATACCACTCCCTTTCTTTCATTTTTTACGAATTATAATGATAATTACAGTAAAAATATTTATTTATATTAGTAACAAAGTTAATTGAGGTCTTACTTTTTAATTAAAAATATCTTTTGTACCCTTATGAAATTTCAAAGATATTTATTAAGAGTTGAGTTAAATATTTGGATGTGTAATTATATATTTTTGGAAGTTGGTCGGTGTCAACACTCGGATCCCAAAGGCTGTGAAGGAAGTTGCTACAGTTATCAAATGTGTCCCAATATTCCCATTGGCAACATTGCAGCCTTAACTGAAACTGACTGTAATTTTCTCAGATGTTACGTCATTAGCCTGTTACATTAATCGCATCTCTAAGTAAAAAAACACGAAAATTTTAATATACAACCCCAGGGAATATTTTTAAATATGCCCTTTCTAAATATCTAGAAGCTAAGTAAAAAATTATCAGAATTATTATATAGAAGCAAATGATGAGATTAAAAAAAAGTATAAATGATACAAATGGAGTAAAAAAATGCGGTAATTGATAGAGTCAAATATGCAAAAAGAAGAATAAGAATAGAATTAAATACGTGTTTATATAAACTTCATTAAAGTAATCCCCGGGATGATTAAGCTAAGATTAAGAATCGACATAGAGATACACTTAACAGGATAATGGATCTAGAAAAAGACGACCTTGATAGATGACCTTAAGAGTCGATATGAAATGAAAAATTACTTAGAGATAAAAGGATATAAGTTAAAAATAAAATACATTAGAAAAACAAGGCAGGGGGAAAAAAACTTATCAAGTGATTTGTTAGAAAATTTCGCATTTTGTCAGAAATAAATGACTTGTCCACCAGTTTAGTAACGTTGCATTCGCTACATATGATATAAATTTAGTAACGGTAACAAGCAGGTATTATCGTGAAACAATGTGACATCCGGAAACGGAAATAACCATTTTTAGTGTAAATGGAATACGAGCAATTCAAATTCTATTCTCCAATTCCCAGAGGATTTCCAATGTTAAAATTGATTTTTAATGATGCAAGATTTTTCTTATACATTAGCCATTTAGAAAAAATTTTTAACATAATTTAAGAACTTAGTATCTAATTTCAATTTAAAATAAAATAAAATAAAAATTTACGAATATAATCGAATAATTTATATTTAAAAACGTTACTTAGTTTTCAAATTTATTATAAAATTAGTTAAAATTTTAATAAAAATATATTTAATTGTAAA